GCCGGGCGAACCCATAAGAAGGAGGGAAGCCCGGCGTTAGCCGGGCGTACCGACTGGTGCACCACATAATGCACAGGATCTCCTAACATTACGAATTCGACTGAGTCGGTTGAACGCTAAAGAAATGGGAGTTCAATCTGGGTGACATAGGACAATTCAGCGTTTATGTTAGTCTTATCGAGCTGGAGATTTATCAAAGCATCACTTGACCGTCTTATTTTCGACTAACACTCGAAACATCCATGGAACGATGACCTCGTTCAGCAGATTTTCTAGGAATGTTGGTTGTTTGTTCAGTCATAATCATCGTCACCTTTGCCTTTCGGTGATCTGGAGGTTATTCAGCGAGTATCTACATGTGCATTGAATAAATAAGTAAAGGAGTAAGTTTTTGGTGAGCGTCCACTCATCTCTTACATCGCCTCCAAATCGAAAATGGGCATGTCGGGTGATGGTACTCATTGAAACATTGATGGTACTCAGACGGCTGTTGGTTCCTCCCTTGCTGGTTAACAAAGCCAAAGCTCTGTGGAATTGCTACCTGTTCTCATGGTGTTTGTCCCATTCTTTTCCCGCTCCCACTCATAACCTTGAGAGGGGAACTTCAAAATGACCACTGATCCTAGCAGATCGCTATGCATTTTGACAGCTGCACCTTTGTTCCCGATTCCATTTCTCGCTTTAACGCAATTCTACAAATATCTAATTATAAACATCACTCTGTCACTTTGTCCTCAGACTTTGTCTAGCTGCTGAGCAGTGTGAGAGGTTTTTTGATTCCTTGGTCGAAGTGGTCCGTACTGATTCATCACTCATAATCGCGGTTCTCGAACGACTGCCCTATTTAAGCATTCGGCTCAGAGAAACATTCCAAACGGTTTATTGACTTCGTAAACAGATTGAAATTGTAACACATAAAGAGTTTTTGATCATAATATCGCGAAGGCATCATGTTTGGAAGGAGATTCAGTTCCTTCACTCGATAACCAGAGGTTTGATGACTACGAGTGAACCCATAAGATGGAGGATCACGACAGTTGTGGTGGATATCGCTAATATACCTATTAGAACCGCCACAATTTTGAAGTATGTAGAAGGCGCCTGAAAAAATTGTTCGGTCGGCTTATTTGTTTTGGAAAGCGGCCGCAGGGTAAGAGCGGCGTGCTGATTGTGAATAGAATACAAGATTTCCACCTATGGGCAGATAATTGATTATTCTGGTTATTCTGGTTATTCGGGGGTAAAAANGATACTTGGAGGGACAAGTAGACGGAATATCTATCTAGTATCTACGGTATAGCAGCATCTCCTTAATGGGACATTACTAATCACCAGTACCCTTGCCTGTCTAACGGATCCGCATATTGTATTCTCGACCAACTCCACTTCGTCCTTTTTCAGAAAACGGATCAGAACATTGATTCGGTAGACTCTACTTCTTTGCTGCACAATGGTGTATGTTTCATTTACGAACAATCGTTCCCATGCTCTACCCTCGGTAGCTTACTGTTGTTTACCCTCAGTAGCATAGGTCTCAGAATGATGTCTATCGGTTCGCTGCGACTTCCAGGACAGTGGTATGTGGAATACTCAGAACCTCGAACTCACGTTTTCGTTGTGGTGGCCGTGTTGGCGACCCGAACGTTTTTTAACCGGTGCGTTCTCAAGTTTCTCCTTCGAATATCCTTCCACTGGTTTCTCCTTCGAATATCCTTCCACTGGTTCCGCGCTCCCTTCTCCTAAATAGGCCGATGTTGAAAATGGGAATGGACGGAATGAGAAAGGGTTTCTGAAAGGAAACATGCCTACGCCAGCTCCTGTACGAGAAGATCCGCTATCTGTAGAGGTCGGTGACCTGCTGTAGTTGCTTCTGTAAAGGAACCACAGATTCAGATCGCAGTGCACGTTATTCACCGTACCGACAGTGCAACCTCATCCGCCGACTTGGTTTTTTTCAAACAGCGATCACAATAGCTCAAACACATCACTGGTTCATGTCAAATTGCTGTGCCCTCGAACTGCGGTAGGCACATGTTAGTAAGGTCTGTCAGCTCATCTTTATGAAAAAATGGGGAAAATCATTCAGCCTGTGCAAGAAGTCACTGAGCGCGGATTTACGAAGGTGTTGCGGTATCAGCACCTTTGTTGATTTTCCGCTGCCTTTGCCCCTCTACAGTATACGACATGATCAGGAACGCTTAGTGTATTGTAAGCCATACTGTAATTAACTATAATGCACGATAAATCAGTACGGGAATTCCGTTTATGCAATGTCCTCCAAGTGGAATTATAAATGCAATGGACGCATAATATCACGGCCTTCATCCTTCAATCAACGGCATAACTAATTTGATTCGGACGCCTCCTATCACATACAGGGCGCATGGTGAAAAGAACTTGGGTACTGACTGGTTAGGAAAATCACCTGATGCGTTCTATCTTATCCAGGCTTTTACAGTAACCCAGGAGTAGGTTCGGTCTAGACTCGGATCGAAACCCACTCCTGATTTATTGAAAGCGGGATCCACGACCGAATTCCTGTTGCTGCCGATAGTTGAGCTATCAATATCATACGTCTTGTTGAAATCCGTACCTTGACAGACTACTTTTGCCGGGTTTGTGTTTTTCCCGTCTGTTAGATCGTGACATTTCCAGCGATACGCGAATGGCTGAAAATTCTGTCTCCAATTTATGAGTTTTCAACTGTTGCAAACAGATTTGTTACGATTCTACAAATCTCAAAGGTCCCATATGGTTCAAGACTTTTTGAAGAGTTACTTATCACGCTTGACACAGATCAACTCCTAACTAATGTAACTCAAACGAGAGAACTTTGAGCAGAGTTGGATCCTAACAACGAGCCTTTCACATCAATTCCATCATTACCGATCGCCTAATCAACTTTGGATACAATGAAGCAAGTGAGAACGTCAGGTGTGTTACGTGCCCCCTTTAGAAGTACCTGAGCTTTTCTTCCGTTGACCAACCGAGTGTTCCTTTACACTAGCGCATTATTATCTCTCACCACCTTCAATGTAGGGTGGAAATGATGTACTGAAGGGTGAGACTATCACAGAGGCGAAGTCTCCAGGGCCAAATTTGCCCAAACTAATGAAGCCTTCTACCCATTCGGGTCGGATAATTGCTATCGCACTGGTCTGAGAGAATAAAAGTACTGGGTTTTACCCCGGTTGGCTACTGTAGGCCACATACGCATCCACTACTTCGCTACGACTGTGAATGGAAGTCAAATCCGTGGACCTAACCTCAGACGGGATTGATTAAGGCCAAACAACTTTTCACCTTCTTTTAGGGCTGATTCATATGTTCAAAGAGCACACAGCGATGACCAAACGAGTGGAACACTATGGTATCGAGGGCAACAGGTGACCGATTTTGGTTGGTAGGGCATTCCAATCCAGATGTTGAACACGCACCCACGACATGGGTAGTAGCTCATCACGAGATTAAGATGCGCTAGTAAGACTGTTTTCCCTCGTCATAACCCCTGTCGCCCCTTTCCCCGTAGAATGGGAACCTTGCATAGTGGGTAGTCAGTGATGTACCCTACAAACATGTGAACTGGAACACTCACCAGATGGTGCAAGAGTCACCGCTCACGGTGCTGCATAAAAGATAACTGGTAAAGACTTTCCGATTACGAATGTTTACATCATTTCTTATCATCAAGGATTAGAAACGAGAAGTATGTCGATTAAGATGAATGTGCCGGTATATGTAGGTTCATGCCAACTTTTTACCGCCAGTCAGACGATGAACCTCGAAATTCAGAGTTAGATGGACTAACTGACATAGTTTAGCAGCGAATTTGGCCATATTCCAACGTACTATATTAACTAAATATTCACATTTTCGCTTAAAAGAGAGCTGGGAGAGAGGGGGCGGGGGAGGGAGCTATTTGACTGAACTCGCAATAGCCGAGTAGCCGGCTTTTTTGGAGTATCAACTTATTACTTGCTAAGACTAGGTTGTGTTTACTATACGAAAACTCGTGGGCACCATGAAGTTCGAAATAAAAATGACTATCAGTGCACGGCCCATCCGTAATGAAAAAGGTATTTTACGGTAAGAGCACCCCGTGACTGAATACCGATGGATCGATTCAATCGGTAAAAACGAAGCTCAGAGGGTCCATTTGCTCTCTGTTCCTAAACCAAGTGCGAAAGCGCATAGAAGGATGAAGTTCTTGCTCAAGGTTCTATAAGGTGCTTAGAAAAGATTCAGAGCCAGTGTGGGGTAGTTTTTTGCCTGATCTTAGAGGAGAGAGGAGCGACAAGCTGGCTTGAATGCTTATTTTACAAAAAAGTTGAGATGGAACAGGAAGTAGGATACTGTCTAGCTGAGAGAGCGCAAAGAATTATGTGGAAACGCGCGATCAGCTTGATCTCGTCGAATGTTCCAGAAGGACCCGTATCTCGGTGGGTCCAGCGAATCTCCAGTATGAGCTCGCGAACCGTCAGGTACCCACCCTGCTCTGCGCTCAAGCGCTGTTGGGAAAGAGCGGTCCCCCTGACTGCACTTTCATTTTTTTACCATCCTTTCATCTTCTACTCTTGACTTCTCTACTGTAATTTATGTGTAGGTCCTCTGGTGCCTTAAAAATCTAATCGCCGAAACTTACCATTAGCAGCATGTACGTCGAGCGGTCTCATTCCTTAGCTCTCATTCGGCGAAATCCCATCCAGATGGCAAACTTCGTCACGTTTGATTTTGAGACGAATTCACTCTGATGATCTTTTTTCCTCAGTAATGGTAGTTGGATGGAAGGATAGCTATATGAAAAGAGGACTTTTCGTAGGTGCTTTCATTATGTCGTCTATTTCGCGCTCTTCCCTGTCGTTTGACCCTGTTGTGGATTTATCGTCTTCATTGAATAAACCACCGCGTGTCAAATACCGTCTTAACAGTTCTGATTCATCATGTACACCTCGAACGCCCAAAAATACCAGCTCTGAGAAACCTTGTTCGATTGCAGGTAAGTTGAGTTAAAATTTCCGTTTGATGGAAAAATTTGTTACCAATTGTCAAGTGATATGTCGTGAGGTTTGTTCAAAATGGCATCAAATAATTGTTTTCCAGCAATAACTGAGGGGCGTGGATGTTTCAAGGGAAGTGTTGGATTAGCTATTATGGATCTCCGTCAAGCCGACATTGAACTAAGCGAATTCATGGACTCGTCGACCCTGTCACGACTGAAAACCAAGTTGCTAATAGCTGATCCCGTTGAGGTGACTTTTTTTCAGACCTTGCTTAAGATTTTCCAAACGTGAAGAGGTAAAATAACGTACATTTGTAGTAGGTACGACATAATTGCCACCAATCTGGTTTCTCATCGTATAGCTCTAGTATTTTCTGAGCGTGACGGTGTACCCATTTCATGCTTTGGGCATTTGCCTTATGATCATAACCTCAATATGGAAAGAACTGCAACACCAATCGACACGGACACTGTTTATATTTGACATGTTGTGTAAGGGCAACCTAAACCTTTTGACGGATCTGAGAATGTACTAAATCTCTTCGGGAGGAAAGATGCATTCATGACTTCGATCTAGATAGGTTCTCTTCTATTATTTCCAATTCCATTCTCACTCAATGATAAGTAGGAGAAATCGGAGGTCCAACTAAAGATGAGGCTTGTGCTCGTGCTTTTAAACACCGATGTGTGCAAAACCCGCCATTCTGGGCGAGCACTCTTCACAGCACTCTAGTAAAATGTGAGATTGGGTAGATCTGAAATGTATAGTTTACTGTTTCCCGCATCCCAGCAGTGTTAAGTGTCCCAGGATGCCCACAGCTGGCTTTCAAAGCGGCGCCCTATTAGTGCAGCTAAATAGCCGGCACTCGGTTAATAGTGAACTAAATGGTACAGCTTGGTGCAGGTTATGGAGGAACATTCAGGGTTGATCATGGTAATCAGTAATCATGGTTCGTGTAGATCTATTAATTGTTGTTATATCTAGTGCCGAGTAAGCTTATTCCTTGACAGTGAAAACTAGAATTTTCCGAATGCAATTGTTTTCAGATTGTAATAGCTGAGAACTTTTACGAGAAGTCGACGAGTGCAGTTCTGGTAGAAATGATACGTTCCTCGCTACCAAACGCAACTGTGACAAGCGTTCACAGAAGGTTTTACTGCTGCTAATTTCCAGATATTTTCAAAGGGATTTTCTGTGCAGGTTCTTCAATCACCAACGCGGTGCCGAACTGGTGACGCAATTGGCAAACGCTGAAATATCAAACTGCGATAACGTAGTCTTGGAAAAGTGAGTTCCATAATGTCTCTCATTCAATAGACATCAATGTATTGCGTTTTTGAGTGAAACTATTATATGTCGATGTTCAGGCAATTTTGTATGCAGAGCTGCTCTGCGCTCATAAAGTACGTGGAGCACATCCAAAATATAGTATTCGCCTCAAAAACTCTTCATTTTGTTTACCGTGACATTGAGAAACTGTGTCTCCTTGGTATGTTTATCGCGCTTTCCATAAGCTGTGTTCATAGCGTCTCATTTTGGATGTGGAACAGAATGGAGGATAATTTCAGACGCTGGTTCATGGAAAAATCTCGAGATAGATAACAATCATCCCAGGAAGGTATGGGTCATGTGCTCTTTGCCCATGTGTCTATCTTGTTATTTTCATTCTTTTGTTCTCGATTGCCTAATTGTAACGGTTTAGGAGCGGAAATCATTACTTGCGATCGTTGATGAAACTCAAACTTCGGCAGGTGCACGTCTTCTTCGATCTAATCTTCTTCAACCCTCTGGTGATCAAGTAGTTATTGATGGAAGATTGGATGCTGTTGAAGAACTGACAGACAATCCTCATGTGAGTGGCAATACTGAATATGAGCATCTCAATCCAGTTGCTCTTGCGTTCTTACTTGAATGCACTCTTTCCTTTAGCTTGTGGAGAAGTTACGCCAAGTTATGGGCTCCACGTACGACTTGGGCAATTTGTTCAATGTGTTCATTGAATCACCTCGAGAGCCAACTGTCCAAAGTGCCGACTTTACTTTGACGCAGGTATTATATTAATAGAAATACTCCTCACAATTTGTTTTGGACGCTTGGTGAGCGGTCATTTCAATATGAACTAATCACATTGTTGATCCATTGTTTAAGTTGCTGCGCCTGAAACAAATGCTGTTTGTTGTCATTCCACTTCGGCACTTAATGAAGAATTTTAAAAGTGACCTGTTGAAAAAGAAAAGCGAGGTGAGAAAACTAGGGAGGCAAAATTCCGTCATATATCATTCCTTTTAGCTGTTGGCTGATGAACGAATCGATAGAATCAAGGAAATATTGTACGACCGATTTCAAGATGAGGCCGTGTTTAGCAGCAAAAAAAGCTCTCTTAATGTGCGACACCGGAAATGTTATGCAATCAAGGTTCTTCCGATATTCTCTGACTTTCCATTTTCGATGATTTCTAGTCTCATTGGTTGTTGTTATAGGAAGGAATCTCTGTTAATTTGGATGTTGCCAGGCGAGCATATGAAGAACTGCTTCGTGATATACAGACTCAAGGAAAGCCATGTCTCCTGATTTCCCCATTCCAATTTTCCCTGGTCCAAACTATTTACGGTGCGACGAGAAGAGAGAATTTTTGTAGTACGTGAGCTTTTTCAGAAGAAGAGCTCTCTGTGCACTTACCACACCAGAACACTAGATTAGCGTATTCCGCTTCTCGAGGGTTCCATTACGTATGGGTATGCGGCAATCCAACCACCGCTACATTACCTTCGGTATGGTGATCCGAATCTCATCATTTTGATGAGCTCCTTTGCGAAAGAATGAATTTGTACATTGACTTCAGGTCTTCATCAACATCACACGTAATAGGTCATCCATCACATTCTCATCTAGAAACCTTCTTCGTTATAATGGTGGGCAGGGCATGTGTCAAAATGACTGTTCTAATTGCAAAGTTTCAGATAGGATAGAACAATCTATATCAGAAGTGCTGATTGCTACGGATGCTGTCGTTCAGGGTGCTGTAAAAGAGGTTAGTTTTGTTGTAGCTGCAATAGTATAATGCGTTCTCAAAAACGGACACCGCAGTTTATGACACATCTTTGAAAATTTGCCACGAGTTTTGAAGAAATCATGGTTGAGTGTTAGTAAATGTATGTCACACATGTGGTAGCTTTGCTTTCTGCTTGTTTCCAATACAACAACACATGGATTGCTAGTAATGCTGATTTGACTCCTCGTTATTCGGAGTAAGTATGACAAGAATTTTCTTGACGGATATGCATGCTGACACGCTTCTACAACTGCGCTGGCCGAGATATTTCCATCTGTTTGTACAACGACTGCTCGGAGTGGTGAATATTGACAGTTCCACTCACTTTCGACCAGTTACTTTGCAGACGAAATAGTCAACCACTCACTTTCGACCAGTTACTTTGCAGACGAAATAGTCAATCTTTGCCATTTATTTCTTCCGCAATAGAAGGTAGACTGGAGTGGGTTTTCGTAAATATAACGCTAAAAGGTTTTCAAAGAGAGCTTAAAATAAACAATATGGAATTCAACAGAAAAAGCAAAAGTGTGTATGTTTGATAAAGAAAACGGCGAGGTAGGTCTAGAAAAATTTGGCTGTAGCGGGCTGTGAAGACAGCTAGCTTTTGTTTTTTTTTTCTCGCTGCCAAACTCAACCAAGTGGGATGTTGTTGTGTTGCCATATTGGTGTTGTTACATTTTCTGTAATCTCCTTGGTTCTTTAGTTTGGTAACAGTGCCTGTGTGGCAAATAACTTTCAGATTCGTCCTCTGATTGCTGTTCTTTACCATATCATGGATTCTATTGCAACGATTGATGTACTATGCAGTTTTGCAGTCTATGCTAGCAATAGAGCTACTGGTAGGTTTTCTAGTAGGTTGCTTTTTGTCGTTCTCTAACACCTTAGAAAAATGCATGCCTTTTTCTGTGCTATTCGACCTTCTTTTGTCTAGTTCGTCCTCGATTTGGATGCAGTGTTATAATAAATGAAGGCAGGCATCCACTGCTCGATTATACTGCGCCAGATAGGGTAGTTCCTAATGACACGGTAGAGTTTAGTCATCGACAATAGATTTATGAGGATTTTGATACTGTGATCAAAGTTTTTGCATCACCTCTTTTTTAGTACCTCACAATGGACTCGCGGGTCGCCATCATCACAGGACCAAACATGGTTAGTTTAATGTACGCTTGAGTGATTGTTTTGTTTCGAGTTCTATTGCACTGCAATTTTCTAACATTCCTTTCGGAAGCGGCTTTACTTTCACAGTTGCGACTGGCTAGTCCTAGAATTCAGCACGTAGTCTCTGTTCCTTTCTAATTAAATTTTGCGACTTATTTTCACTGAGAACAGATTTGTGATGGGAATTTTATTTACAGTTAATCGCTTCATGCTTAATACAAACTGAAAAACTTGCAACTTCAGACGGGAAAGTCCACGTACCTGAAACAAGTGTGTCAGCTGTGTATTTTAGCCCAGAGCGGTTGCTTCATTCCTGCTAAAATTGCTATTCTTCCCGGTAAGTTAGTGCTAGAGGATCGTTCCTCCTTGCCAATAAATGCTTTTTGTAAAGGGAGTAAGGTTGCTAGATAATATAGTTCGTTCTTAATTTTCTTCTCTTGTGAGAAAAGGAAGATCATGAGATGGTTAAAAATATTTTCAGGTCATTGTTAGATTAACATGGATATCTTCCTTACAACCCGTTCAATTGGGTTTCTTTCAGTCTTTCTGCGGATCTCTTCACGTGTAGGTCACAATGACAACCTAACCAAAAATCTTTCTGCATTCGCCGTTGAAATGGACGAGATGGCTTTGATACTGCAGTATTCTGATAACCGCACTCTCCTTGTGATAGACGAATTGGCCCGAAGTGAGTTGTTCGTGTTCAGAGTTCCTAACGCGGATATCATGACAAATCCACTGAGTCAGAGAACATGTGAGGCTCATGAGATTTTACAAGAATCAGTAAATTATATCTCTGAAGTTTGTTGCACAACTACTGTTCTGCTGCATAATTTAATTGGACCGAAGCACGGCATCAATGTGGCATCAGGCGGTTTAGCAAAGAATTCTAAGGGCCTATTACGCTCTACAAGATACTGCGAGTGATTTTTGTTTCAACCTTCCATATTACCTCAAAAATCACGAACAGAGACGGGTCTAGTTTGTGGTGTCTGGGCCTTGAATCTACGGTTCTTTGATTACGGGAGAGACGTGCGTAGAAATCAGATTTAACCGTCGGTATATCTATATCCCAATGACGTTATTCTTCCAAGTGTTTTCACTTCGAAAATTCTCAGCGAGCTCAGCTTAAGAAACGATAAGAAACCAAACTTCCGAATAGGCAGAGATGGAGCAAAATCAAAACCAAAAAGTAATCAAAATCATTGATTTTAGATTCGACGGCCCATGAGTGCTTAATCGATCGTGCCATGACTATCTGCCTGAAAATAGGGGCAAATTTTGTTGAAACTCTCGAAATCAACAAAGTTAAGGAAATATAAAAAACTCTATCGCTACATTATTGGCCTGTTACCACTGCGGCAGCATCACACTTTAGGTAGCTGACTCATAATACCAAATTTCGGTAAAAAACGAAATGTGAGTGGATCAAAAATTGAAAATTGTTTCGGAAGAGCTTAGCTCGCCTAGGATTTAACGAGCGAATGTTTCCGATACGCTTGGGTTGCCACAGTTATTTCATTGTTTTGTGCCTCTTCGTCACCCGGCTAGTTAGACCGCCTTTCTACTTGTGTTTAACCAAGCCTTTCTTCTAAATAATGCTCAGAATTAAAGACGTCTGCTTTCTGAAGTTTTTGAGACTTTTTTCATTTATAGTTATGTTTTATATGTTTTTTCGTATATATGTTTTTTATAGAAATATAGAATATGCTGCATTTCGTGAATGTAGCGATGACTATATGAAGATTCTCTTACTTTAGGTACGTCTACAGAGGAAGGTATTGGTATATGTTACGCAATCATCGAGAAGCTCATTAAACAAAAGGTTGCGTTCAGCTTCTTGAATTCGTTATCCCTGAATTTCAGTCGCTACTCGACCTTTTTAAGACCTACACGATTTTTGCTACACACTTCCTCGATCTCGCAGCTATGGACGTTAGCTATTCTGCTGTCGAAAAGTTTGTCAAATCGATCTGCCATTGCCTTTTCTACTTTCTTCGATGTAGTGATTTCAGCTTTCATTTTCCATCTCAAGTCACTTACATCAATGGTCAGGAACAGCTTTCTATTGTTCACAAATTACATAGAGGACCTTACAACGGACCTTTATACGGTTGTTTCATGATCGCTGTTTTCATTCTACCAAAGTTCTCTAAGTAAGCTATCAAGTATTAAGGTTTCGAGCTCGTAGAATTGTCTACGTTTCCAGAAGAGGTGACTGAATCAGCTCGTAAATTAGGCCAGTACTTGCATGAAGAAGCTGCTGACAAAAGGTACTTCGGTTAGGCATTATCTGAAGTTTATTTCATTCACCCTTGACTCGGGTGGTGATTAGGCAGTGACAAGCGCTTTTTTCGAGCAAACTGAGCTAAACTTAACCGAACCTTCTAATGAGGTCAATCAACAGTGTTGTTTTGGTGCGCAATTTATTGGGTCACAGAAAATAGTAATTTCTAAGCTGGCTGGCTCGCAGCAGCAGTTGGACTAGCTACTCAAGGATAAAAAAATCGTTGTAAAACCATGAATAAAGTTATCGCTTGATTCGTGGCATACTTACCAGTTATTATCAAGCCCTTCTCCGTGTACATAAAATTGAAATCAGAATGCTGGTGTTTCAAAACTTTCGGGAATTAAGTTATGACATGAACAGGCCATCAATCCAAAATTACTGTAGCGATACAAGAAAAAAAAAGCAATTGCAGGGCAATGAGTGCTGACACCCTGGTTCATCGTACATTGGTTCGAAGCGCTCATCGCTTACGCCAAGTTGTAGCGTCCAGAAATGTTGTTTCGGAAGAGTGTTTAAAAAAGTAGGTTGCTTTCCATGATATTGTTCTGATGTTTTGAAAATCTTGGGTTTTAATTTTCTACTTTTTCCAATCCTTTGTTACAAGTTTGGGAATGGATTGTAAGTAGACCTGACAATAAGATATGGTCAAAGCTCAATCCGGACAAAGCTTTGAAAACGTCACACAAGTTTCTCTTTTTAGAAGTTTGCATGATATCCGGAGGTACTTGCAAAATAATCTTTCCAAAGCGAAGGAAGCGATCAATCAAGACAGTTGAAAATATGGGGACGATCTTTTCCAGGCAAATCAGCAGCATGACGGTAAGTAACATTAACATATTGGGAAGAAATGCATGGAAGAATCATTGAGTCATGAAGTCATGGGTGTACTCCGGCGCCTATTTGGTGTTTTGTCAAGAAAAAAAAACGTGACTTCAACAACAGCCCTCCTTAGTTGCTGGATTTCACGAAACAAAATGCCTTTAATTTGAAGAATGAAGTGATCGGCAATAGCTACCTGCCTTTTGATATATATCAAACTTATTTCGCCAACTAAATCATGTCTTTTATAGTATATTTTGCTTGCTTTGTACCTTTTAGGGGAACGATTTCTTATGCGAATGAAGTATCTTTGGCGCGTAAACTCTGCACAATCACGGCCAGACATTTTTTAAGGAGGGTTTTTGAAGTGCTGTGAGGGGAAAATATCCTCTTAAATTGGTTGGAATCTATGTAGAGTCCCATTATAAATTGTAATAGTTCAATAACAGCTACTTCCGAAAAAAAGCAAATTGGTCGCTTTCTTACATATTTCTTCCCGATCTGTCCTTTTTCACTTGTTATCCTAGCAACTGTGCAACAGTGTTGTTTATTATTCCTGTAACGACAAAGCCTTATAGGTACTTATTTTTGTTGTTGTTGAGACTGTGAATGTCATAGCTAGATGTAAATTGTGTTCTGTAAATTGTTACCATAGTAATAAGAAAGAGCTAATGAACGATTTCTGAGATTAGTCACGGGCGCTGCAATACAGTGAAATGTAAGTAGAACTGTAAAGCAATGTAGTCCTTTGGCTCTCATTTAAGATAAGGTTCCCCAGCTGTACCTGCAGTCTCTCGACTGAAAGAAGAACCAAGGTACTAGGGTTTTTACAGATGAACCTTTTGATCAATATTCTCTAAAGGGGGGAAAGTAAGTTCAGGGAAAGTGGGAAGGGAATAGATGGGTGGATGGATGAGATATGTTGATGTTCGTAATGTTTTCATTTGTACACTAAGAAAATGGCGTGTTATGATTGATCGAACGATTACATATTAAATTTGCAAGCACTACTCGTCGAGACCTATTCCCCGGATGACTTTTCTCAGGCAGCATCGATCTGTCAACGGTTAAATACAGTGCGTTTCATAATTATAAGGTCACCCTCAAATTTTGCACTTTCAGAAAAAGCAATCACTAAAGATTCTCTCTAGCATCATGAACGGATTCCCCAACACGAACAACCTAGGTTTCCGTTTTTTAGCCGCAGCTGCATTTTTCTGAACTTTTTTAGAACAGTTTATCGGTTTTTGCACCGTTTCATAATTATAAGGTCACCCTGAGAAAGTGAACAATTATTCATGGAAGAGAGGGAATTTCTTGTTTAAAGATACTTATGAAGGTTAGCATGTGTAGCCAATGCATTTCTAAAACTGGCTGTCAACATGGTCGTGGTCATCTGCTTTCATCTGATGAGAAGGCTCATCATGAAGGTGGGCTCAGTACTCGAGCAATCTCCAGGCAAATAAGGCGACCCCTTGATCCATTCAAAGATTTTTGGAGAGCCCTGATGTCCCTAGATATGACACCGGCTGTGGACACCCATGAAAGATTATTGCCCGTGACGAGCGGAAGATT